TTTTTTTTTGAGACACCATTCCAGTTTGTCACCCAGTCTAGAGTGCAGTGGTGTGATCTCCACTCACTGCAACCTCTACTTCTCAATTTCAATCAATTCTTATGCCTCAACCTCCCAAGTAGCTGAGATTACAGGCATGTGCCACCATGTCTGACAAAGTTTTGTATTATTAGTAGAGACGGGGTTTCGCCATGTTGGCCAGGCTGATCTCAAACTCCTGACCTCAGGTGATCCACCAACCTCGACCTCCCAAAGTGCTGAGATTACAGGCATGAGTCACCGAGGCTGGCCCCACACACTTTTAAATTGTCAGCTATTGTGAGAATTCACTCACTATCACAAGAACAGCACGGGGGAAACTGCCCCCATAATCCAGTCACTTTCCACCAGGTCCCTCTTCTAACATGTGAGGATTACAATTTGACATGAGATTTGGGTGGGGACACAGAACCAAACCATATCAGATGGATAAATGGGTAGACAGATGAGTGGATAGATGGATAGAGGGAAGGATGGATGGTTGGGTGGGTGATGGATGGATGATGAATAAATGAATAGATGAATGAGTGAATGGATGGATGGATAAATTGGTAGATGAATGAGTAGATGGATAGAGAGATGGATGGGTGGATAGATGGATGAGTGGGTGGATGGAATGGATCGAAAGATGGATGAGATGGATGGATGGGTGGGTGGATGGATGGATGGTTGGATGGATGGACGGATGGTTAGATGGATGGATGGTTGGATGGATGGACGGATGGTTAGATGGATGGATGGTTGGATGGATGGACGGATGGCTAGATGGATGGATGGATGGTTGGATGGATGGATGGATGGTTAGATGGATGGATGGTTGGATGGATGGAAGGATGAATGGAATGCAGCCTTGTTTACAGGGGTGCCATTCTCTAATAACACAGATTCCATTGCCTTGCAGCTTAAAGAGAGCCACCATATCTACTGTAACTGTGGACATAGCAAACAAGGAAATTTCATGTGTGGATGTCAAGCCCCTGGTAGGTCCCAAATCTTTGCTGTCTCATATTTGGTGTCTTAAGGGTTAGGACTTATAGAAGCTGGCCCTGAGGGGCTGTCCGAGCCCTTGTTCAGGGTCTGGAGATGGAGGTGATCCTGTCCCCATTGCTGGGGGTCACTTTCCCCTCCCCCATCATTATACCCCAGGGCTGCCTCCTCATACGCACCATTCTGAACGCATGTGCCTGTTTCTTGTTGGGTATCCCCAGAACTGTGTCAGGGCAACTCAGGTAATGTACTTCTAGGTGCTCCAAGAGAACAGGGTCCACCGTTGAGCTTGGCCACGAATGTTCACCGCAGCATATTTTACAATGCCCAAACAGCAGAGACCGGCCGGGCGTGGTGGCTCACGCCTGATGTCAGGAGTTGAGACCAACCTGGCCCACTTGGTGAAACTCCACCTCTGCTAGAGAAAAAAAAATTTATTAGATAGCTGGGTGTGGTGGTGCACGCCTGTAGTCCCAGCTACTTCGGAGACTGAGGCAGGAGAATTGATTGAACTCGGGAGGTGGAGGTTGCAGTGAGCTGAGATCATGCCACCGCACTCCAGTCTGGGCGACAGAGGGAGCCTATGTCTCAAAAAAAGTAGGGGGGTTGGGGGATTTAAAAAAAAAAGTAAAATAAAATAATAAAATGTTCTGGAATTAGACAGGGGTGATGATCACATTACTCTGTGAATGTCTAAAAACCACAGACCTGCCCAGGCACGGTGGCTCACATCTGTTACCCCATTGCTATGGGAGGCCAAGACAGGCAGATCACCTGAGGTCAGGAGTTCAAGACCAGCCTGGCTAGCATGGTGAAAGCCTGTCTCTACTAAAAACACAAAAACTAGCTTGGCGTGGTGTCACGCACCTGTAATCCCAGCTCCTCGGGAGGCTGAGGCAGGAGAATCGCTTGAACCCAGGGGGCAGAGGTTGCAGTGAACCGAGATTATGCCATTGCACTCCAGCCTGGGTGACAGAGCAAGACTCCGTCTCAAAAAAAATTAATTAAAAAAATTAGTTTTGGTCTCCATGAAGCCACTAAAAGCTCGTCAGGCGACACGTGGAGTTTAGCCATGTCCCAGGCTCTTAGAGTTGAACTTTCACGGGGCCAGCTGCGGTTACAGCACGTCCCAGGCATCAGGGCACCCAGTTGGGATGCAGGCCACATGGTTTCCAAGCGCTTTCCATGGGAGCATGTTCCTGTATGGGGTTCACTGTGTCTGGGTGTCCCTCACTGACTTGAATTTGCATTTGTGTGTCTCTCCTCTGCAGTCAACCCTGATTTCAATCGGCTGTGACCTGGATAAAAGGATCGTCATCCAGAAGTAAGTGTGTTGAGGCCGCGTACAGTAGCTCACGCCTGTGATCCCAGCACTTTAGGAGGCTGAGGCGGGCAGATCACTTCAGAACAGGGGTTCGAGACCAGCCTGGCCAACATAGCAAAACCCCATCTCTACTGAAAAAGAAAAAGTAATCAGGTGTGGTGGCAGGCGCCTGTAATCTCCGCTACTTGGAAGGCTGAGGCAGGAGGATCACTTGAACCCGGGAGGTGGAGGCTGCAGTGAGCTGAAATCGAGCCACTGCACTCCAGCCAGTGTGACACAGCGCAACTCTTGTCTCAAAAAAAAAAAAAAAAAGAAAGAAAGAAAGAAAGTATGTTGATATTAGAGGGGAGTGGGGAGAGAACAATTGCTGAGGTAGATGACTTTAGAGTATTCTGTTTTATATATATTATTGCCACAATTAAAAGTTAAACGATTCACACTAATAGGTTAAGTTTGTTTCTAGCATGTTGGTCTCTCCTCCTTCACCTGTTGGTGATATCCACATTTTTAATTTTTTTGAGACAGAGTCTTGCTCAGGCTGGGGGTGCAGTGGCATGATCGCGGCTCACTGCAAACTCCACCTCCCAGGTTCAAGTGATTCTCCTGCCTCAGCCTCCTGAGTCGCTGGGATTACAGGCGTGCGCCACCACACCCGGCTAGTTTTGATATTTTTAGTAGAGACGGGGTTTCACCATGTTGGTCAGGATGATCTCCAACTCCTGACCTCAAGCGATCTGCTGGCCTCAGCCTCCCAAAGCGCTGGGATTACAGGCGTGAGCCACCACACCAAGCCTAAATAAAATTTTTAAAAAGCTAGACAAGCGACACCCCTAATGGCAAAGTGCAGAGCCGTTTCCTGTCATGCCTCTACCAGAGCTGGTGTTTCCCAGGTTTTTTTTCCCCATATCTGCTCATTTTACCAGAGCTGGTGTTTCCCAGGTTTTTTTTCCCATATCTGCTCATTTGACAGCTGCTCGTGCATTGGACACAGAGGTGTGCCCTCCCTTTTCCATTTATTTTGTTTTCTTATTTTATTTTTATTTATTTATTTTGGAAATGGAGTCTCACTCTGTCACCCAGGCTGGAGTGCAATGGCACGATCTCAGCTCCCTGCAACCACCGCGGGTTCAAGCACTTCTGCCTCAGCCTCCCAAGTAGCTGGGATGAGAGGCGAAGATGTCATGCCTGGCTACCTTTTGTATTTTTAGTAGAGACGGGGTTTCCCCATGTTGGCCAGGTTGGTCTCGAACTCCTGAGCTCAGGTGATCCGCCTGCCTCAGCCTCCCAAAGTGCTGGAATTACAGGCCTGAGCCACCACACCCGGTCCCTCCCTTTCTGTCCAATACTTAATGGTTTGGTTCCTTGTGAGGTCGGGAAATTGCTCAATGTCCTTTTTTGCTTGCAGCAAAATTTCCGCCTGTTCCAAGGGCATCCTGGACGCTTTGACCCTACAAGACAATTACAGCTTCATCATCGAGAAGTAAGGCAGCGTACCCTGACAACCCCTGACACCCACGGTGACAGTGGGCCTGCAAAAGCCAACAGCAAATTAGGATTGACCGGTTGATTGAGATGGAGTTTTGCTCTTGTCGCCCAGGGTGGAGTGCAATGATGCAATCTCGGCTCACTACAACCTCTGCCTCCTGGGTTCTAGCAATTCTTCTGCCTCGGCCTCCCAAGTAGCTTGGATTACAGGCATGTGCCACCATGCCCAGCTAATTTTGTATTTTCTTTATTTGAGTAGAGACGTGGTTTCTCCACGTTGGTCAGGCTGGTCCTGAACTCCTGACCTCAGGTGAACTGCCCACCTTGGCTTCCCAAAGTGCTGGGATTACAGGCCTGAGCCACCGCGTCCAGACTTTTTTTTCTTTTTTTTTTTAAGAGATGGGATCTGGCCCGTGGCCCAGGCTGGCGTGCAATGGTGTTATCATAGCTCACTGCAGCCTCAACCTCCTGGGCTCAAGCAGTCCTCTTACCACAGCTGGCTGGTCCCACGTGTTGTCCCACTCAGTGGGCATGTGCCCCCACGCAGGTAGGAGAATCTGGGCCTTAGTCAATTTGTGCTGCTTTAAGGGACTACTCGAGGCTAGGTGATTTATAAAGAAAGAAACTTATGGCTGGGCGCAGTGGCTCACACCTCTAATCCCAGCATTTTGGGAGGCCTAGGCGGGCGGATCCCTTGAACTCAGGAGTTCAAGACTAGCCTGGCCAACATGGCGAAACCCTGTCTCTACTAAAAATACAGAAATTAGCCAGGCATGGTTGTGGGCACCTGTAATCCCAGCTATTCAGGAGGCTGAGGCAGGAGACTCGCTTGAAACCGGTGGGCGGGGGTTGCAGTGAGCGGAGATCAAGCCACTGCACTCCAGCCTGGGCGACAGTGTGAGACTTGGTTTCAAATAGGGCGCGGTGGCTCAAGCCTGTAATCCCAGCACTTTGGGAGGCCGAGGCGGGTGAATCACGAGGTCAAGAGATCGAGACCATCCTGGTCAACATGGTGAAACCCCGTCTCTACTAAAAATATAAAACATTAGCTGGGCATGGTGGCGCGTGCCTGTGATCCCAGCTACTCAGGAGGCTGAGGCAGGAGAATTGCTTGAACCCAGGAGGCGAAGGCTGCGGTGAGCCGAGATCGCGCCATTGCACTCCAGCCTGGGTAACAAGAGTGAAACTCCATCTCAAAAAAAATAAAAGAAAAGAGACGGGGGCAGGGAAGAGGCTGGGTGTTGTGGCTCACATCTGTAATCCCAACACTTTGGGAGGCTGAGGCAGGAGGACTGCTTGAGGCCAGGAGTTGGAGACCAGCCTGGGCAACCTAGAGACAAAAAAAAAAAAAAAAAAGGTGGGGATGGGCAGGAAGGAGGTGCCAGGCTCTTAAACAACCAGTTCTCATGGACGCTGAGGCTGAAAACCCACTCAGTACCACGAAGATGGCTCTAAGCCATTCACAGACGATCGGACCTTGTCGCCTAAACACTTCCGACTAGGCCCCCCTCCAACACTGGGGATCCACTTTCAGCAGGAGCTTTGGAAGGAGGAAATATCCAAACCAGCCAGGCGTGGTGGCTCATGCCTATAATCCCAGCTTTGGGAGGCCGAGGCAGGTGGATCACCTGAGGTCAGGAGTTCGAGACCAGCCTGACCAACATGGAGAAACCCTGCCTCTACTAAAAGTACAAAAAATTAGCCGGGCGTGGTGGCACATGCCTGTAATCCCAGCTACTCAGGAGGCTGAGTCAGGAGAATTGCTTGAACCCGGGAGGCAGAGGTTGCAGTGAGCTGAGATCACACCACTGTAGTCCAGCCTGGGCAGCAAGAGAGAAGCTGCATCTCAAATATCCAAACCACAGTAAGGCGTCTCACTGCACCCAGCATGGGGGAGCTCCTTGCCACGTGAGTGCACGCTTCTGTGTGTTTTGTAAGACCTGACCCCTCAAATGCAAGTCAAGATTGAGTTACCGGTTCAGAGCTGAGACCTAAACTGGTGCTTCTAGGCTTGCTAAGGGGCAGTGCGTCTGGAACCTGCAGAGGACACAGGGGAAGGTCATCTGAGTCTATACCAGCTGCTATCATGAAATATCTTAAACTGGGCGATTTATTAGTTGCTACAAGAGTAATCATGGTTTTTGCCATTGTAATGGGTGCAGTGGCTCGCCCCAGTAATCCCTGCACTTTAGGAGGCCTAGGCTGGCGGATCACCTGAGGTCAGGAGTTCAAGACCAGCCTGGCCAACATGATGAAACCTGTCTCTACTAAAAGTACAAAAAAGAAAAAGCCGGGTTTGGTGGCGGGTGCCTGTCATCCCAGCTACTTGGGAGGCTGAGGCAGGAGAATTGCTTGAACTTGGGAGGCAGAGGATGCGATGAGCCGAGATTGTGCCACTGCACTCCAGCCTGGGCAACAAGAGTGAAACTTCATCGCAAAAAAGAAAGAAAGAAAGAAAGAAATGGCAAAAACCGTGATTACTTTTGTACTGATCTAATTTAAAGAGCAGACATTTGGCCAGGCTCGGTTGCTCACACCTGTAATCCCGGCGCTTTGGGAGGCTGAGGAGAGAGAGGCACTTGAGGCCAGGAGTTTGGAACCAGCCTGGGCCACACAGCAAGACCATATCTCTACAAAAAATTAACAAATGAACCATGTGTGGTGGCGTGTGCCCGTAATCCCAGCTACTCAGGAGGCTGAGGTGGGAGGATTGCTTGGGCCCAGGAGGTGGAGGCTGCAGTGAGTCGTGATCGCATTACTGCACTCCAGCCAAAAAATTAACCACAATGGGAGGTTCCAGCATCATCTGGGCCCACCTCAGATGCCACCTCCACCCACTCTCATGGTCGATCCCCATTTGCCAAAAAGAAACAGGCTGTGAAGGGTTGGGGGTCTGGGCAGGAACTCACAGACTCCCTGTCTCTGCTTCCTGGTGTCTTGAAGGGAATTCTACGACCCCAGCTTCCAGGGGCAGCCGTCCTCCCAGGACCTGCATGTGCCCTACTCCTACAGTCAACTGGGCTGTCCGCTCCTCGTCTACTACGACACCCCATGGAAGCCCGTGGTGGAGCTGTAAGACCCCAGGGGCTACTGCAGGGTGGGGACGGTGGCAGGACCTCATGCTCCCTGGCTCTGGGGTACCAGCCTGGCCCTCCAGGTTCCCCTAGATCCCTCAAAATGATGGCGGTCACTGTTTCCCACTGTGCTCCCGCCCCAGCCTTCTCCCCGGGACACCTTTTCTTTTTGTGAGACAGGATCTCACTCTGTTGCCTAGGCTGGAGTGCTGTGGCACAATCTCAGCTCACTGCAACCTCCACCTCTCAGGCTCAAGCAATTCTCCTGCCTCAGCCTCCCGAGTAGCTGGGACTACAGGTGCGCACCACCATGCCTGGCTAATTTTGTATTTTTAGTAGAGACAGGGTTTTGCCATGTGGCCCAGGCTGGTCTTGAACTCCTGAGCTCAGGGGATCCATCCACCTCAGCCTCCCAATGTGCTGGGATTACAGGCATGGGCCAGCGTGCCGGGCCCTGAGTGGACTTTCGTTTCCTCTCTGTTATCCATGCTCAGTGCTGGCTGCTGCCCATCTCCCTGTCCACCCAGCTCTGTCTCCCAGCCTCCCTGCAGCCTGCACACCGCAGCCTCACCTGGGAGGGACAGGGGTTCTTTGGTTTGCTCCCTGCCACCTCCCCACCCCATGAGTGGTTTCGTAGCCGTCCAGGTGGCTGTGGCCTGGGTCTTCCTGGGTTGACCCCGCTCCCCACGCAGCTCTGCCCTGTATGCGTCTCCTAGGTGGCGAAAAGACACTTTCCAGGAGATTGTCGACGCTGAGTATGTGTTACTGGAGGTGAATGGGCAGTTCTCCTACAGGTATTCCCTGACGGCCCAGTCGGCGCTGTGCACCTCCCAGCCACAGAACTGGACCACCATGATAAAGGAATTCGGGATGCCCTTTCTCTGGAACAGAGAGGTAATAGGACCCTAGGATCGTTTCAGAAGAATCAGCATGCCACCAGGGGGTGGGAGTGTGCGTGAGGACATGGTGCAGCCATGGAACTGGGTATGGAATGAAAGACTGGGCCGGGCGCGGTGGCTCACACCTGTCATCCCAGCAGCTTGGGAGGCCTAGGCGGGCGGATCACCTGAGCTCAGGAGTTCAAGATCAGCCTGGGCAATGTGGTGAAACCCCATCTCTCAGCTGGGCATGGTGGTGAGCGACTATAATCCCAGCTATTCGGGAGGCTGAGGCAGGAGAATCGCTTGAGCCCAGGAGGAGGAGGAGGTTGCAGTGAGCCGAGATCTCGACACCGCACTCCAGCCTGGGCCACAGAGGGAAATGCAGGCACCAAGGTGCTCAGGGGCTTTGCTGATGAAGAGGGAAGTCTGGGACCATCCCAATGGTTGCTGCTGAGGCGTGGATGGGTTTCCCACGCTGTCCTACTCAGCGTGCATTCGTTTTTTATTTTTTTAAGACAGAGTCTTGCTCTGTCGCCCAGGCTGGAGTGCAGGGGCACAGTCTCAGCTCACTGCAGCCTCATGGCTCAAGTGATCCCCCCACCTCAGCTTCCCAATTACCTGGCACTACAGGTGTGTGCCATCATGCCCTGCTCATTCCTAATTTTTTGTTTGTTTGTTTGTTTTTGTAGAGACAGGGTTTCACTATGTTGCCCAAGCTGGTTTTGAACTCCTGGGCTCAAGCGATCCTCCCACCTCGGCTCCCCAAAGCGCTAGATTATAGGCATGAGTGACCCCGCCTCAGTGTGTGTTTCTTTTCTTTCCTTTTTTTTTTCAGACACAGTCTTGCTCTGTCGCCCAGGCTGGAGTGCAGTGGTGGGACCTCTGCTCACTGCAACCTCCACCTCCCAGATTCAAGTAATTCTCCTGCCTCAGCCTCCTGAGTAGCTGGGAACTACAGGCACCTGCCACCACGCCAGCTAATTTTTTTTTGGTGAGACGGGGTCTCACCATGTTGGCCAGGCTAGTCTCAAATTCCTGACCTTAGGTAACCCCCACCTCAGCCTTCCAGTGAGGTGGGGTTACAGGCATGAGCCACCGTGCCCAGGCTTATTGTTTGTTTATTTATTTATTTTTGAGATGGAGTCTCAATCTGTCACCCAGGCTGGAGTGCTGTGGCGCAATCTCTGCCCACGGCAACCTCCCCCTCCTGGGTTTAAGCCATTCTCTTGTCTCAGCCTCCCAAGTAGCTGGGATTACATGCCTGCGCCACCACGCCCAGCTAATTTTTGTATTTTTAGTAGAGACGGGGTTTCACCATGTTGGCCAGGATGGTCTTGAACTCCTGACCTCAAGTGATCAGCCTGCCTCACCCTCCCAAAGTGCTGGGATTACAAGCGTGAGCCACTGTGTTCAGCCTGGATTTTCTTTGTTAAATGCACAGCCTGAAGCTCTCCTCATCACACCCAGCCCAATTAACCGTTTTAAAGACTGCAACCCTGTGACAGCTGGTGCACTGACGGCCTTGTCCAACCACCACCTCTTTGACTATTTTTTGAAAGAGAGAGCTGTCTGGGCGCGGTGGCTCGTCCCTGTAATCCCAGCACTTTGGGAGACTGAGGAGTGGGGAGTGCTCGAGCCTGGGAGTTTGAGGCAAGCCTGGGCAACATAGGGAGACCTCATTTCAAAAAAACAACAAAAAAAATTAGACCAAGCACAGTGGCTTATGCCTCTGATCCCAGCACCTTGGGAGGCTGAGGCAGGCTGATCACTTGAGGACAGGAGTTCGAGATCAGCCTGACATGGTAAAACCCTGTCTCTACTAAAAATACAAAAATTAGCAGGGTATAGTGGTGCACCCCTGTAATCCCAGCTTTTGAGGAGCTCGAGGCAGGAGAATTGCATGAACCTGGGCGGTGAAGGCTGCAGTGAGCCAGCATTGTGCCACTGCACTCTAGCCTGACAACGGAGAGAGACTGTTTCTCAAAACAAACAAAAAAGAGTGGTCAGGCACTGTAGCTCACGCCTGTAATCCCAGCACTTTGGGAGGCTGAGGCAGGTGGATCACTTGAGGTCAGAAGATCAAGACCAGCCTGGCCACTGGTCTTGAACACAAAAAATACAAAAATCTGCAGGACGCGGTGGCAGGTGCCTGTAATCCCTGCTACTTGGAAGGCTGAGGCAGCAGAATTGCTTGAACCTGGGAGGTAGAGGTTGCAGTGAGCTGAGATCACACCACTGCATCCAGCCTGAGGGACAGAGCAAGACATCATCTGGAAAAAAAAAAACAAAACTCATTGGCAGCACCTGACTCTCACCCAGACTTAGTAAGCCTCCAGCCTCCACGCCCGGGAAGGCCGGGAAGGAGGCAGGGGAGATGGAGGCTGAGCAGCCTCCGTCCACAGCCTCCTCTGTAGGGAGCATGAACCTGCCCACACCATCGACGCTTGGCCCCAGACTCCCACCATGCACTTCTCATGAGGACTGGGGTGGGCGCAGGGTCTCTGCACGCAGGAGGGAGGCTCAGGGCTCCCTTCCAGCCCCCAGGACCAGTGGGCGTGTCTCTGTCTCCCACAGAACTACGTGAGCTGCCACGACTCCAACAGGAATGCTACTTTGAGATGGCCAGATGTCCAGTATCAGATCTTGGGTGGCCGCACAACAAACCAGATAATTTTCAGCCACAACAATGGCATCT